TTTTTTTTTTTTTTTTCTTTTTAACGCGTTCGTTTTTTGTTTCATTCGCGTTTTTTCCCCCTTTTATCCTCTATTCCTTTTTATACTTTCCTATCGACGATAATCGTAGCTTTTACGCTTGAACGGCAAATTTTTTTTTTTCTTTTTCCTTTTTAACGTTGCAATATACAATCGAAGGAGCGAGAGACCGGTTTGTCGTATCAGTTCTGTTAAACTGATATGCCATCCGCGGATAATAGACTTGTTCGCAACGGTCGCAGTTGTTCGCTGAGAAAAAATGAGAGCGATCGTTTTTTGCCAGTTGAGGGGTCGATGGAATTTCGTTCGGTTGAAAACGAAATTCCCACGGGAACGAGCAGAATAATAATTTATAATTGATACGGTGAATTGAAGGAAATATACACATACACGCATATCTATCATAGTACATACACATAGAAACACAAGAAACGAGTTGCACTTGCGTTGCAATTGAGCGCCCTTAGCGCTCAAACCCGTTGTTTTCTAGCTATCTGTAAAAGAATACAAAGGCTCGTACAACAGCTGGAACAACAACAACCACAACCACAACAACAATGACACGTTTGAACGTAACGTCACGCACCCTTGCAGATTTGAGACGGAAAAGAACAAAGTTTGAGTCGCCCAACCTGAGAAGGTTCTTGTTACGTAGACGTCTGATAGAGAGAAAACAGTTTTCCGACGGTACGAAACCATTCGATTCAAAATCATATATAAAGTCTTATCGCCTATCAAAAGTTGCTTATCTTTTAATACGCACCAGAGAATTAATACTAATTTACGCGTTCGGGTGATCACGATTCGCGAGGGTCGCATCATCACCGCATTGATATATATATATATATATATATTTACGCATCACCGACGTCCCCAGTGAGTAACGCTTGCTTTTAATTATCGATGAATCCGTTGTGACGTTATATAAATGTATAGGTATTATAAATACGTACAACTGACAGTTCGTAAATTAATTATTAAAAATATCGACTTTCGTAACATCAAAACGTTCGAAACGTTCGACTTTCGAACGAAGTCGAATAAAACGTAATAAAAAGGAGCGCCAGTAATTACGATCGG